CCCCAAAACCCCAAAACCCCAAAACCCCAAATATCAAATTTTCCCTTGAAAATTATCAGAATTGCTATTAAGGCTGCTAGATATTCAAAACTTTTAAGTAAGATTCTTATATAAATTAAGTAAGCCTACAGCTTATTTGCGGACGGCCTTCCGTACTTTCTGCGGGAATGGAGTCGGATGTCTAGAGTTTCAGCACTGAAGCTTACCTGTTCGGCGTCTTTTTGGAACCAGTGGTCTTTTCAGGGGATTTTGTTGAATTTTGGTCCTGGGCTCTATGGGTTATAGGGTGTATTACCGAAAAATTTTCATTGTCTTTGGACGTCTTTCGCCACGCGTGTGGGTAGACGTGGGCTTAGAGGAAGCCTGGGTGCGATCAGAGGGCTTAGGAGCCTTTAGATCTACCTCTTCCTTTGGGATTTAGTGATTTTGAAGATTGAGAGTTCAGATCCTGGGTGATAAATGGGAGTAAAATATACCTTATAAGCAGAATTATCAAATCATTTCTTATGGAACTTCATCCTTCTAATAGCTTTGGTATTTTCATGTAGCTGTATCACTTTATTGCACTGTTTGCATAGACAGCTTTTGTTGAATTCCTTGACTAAATAATGCATTTCGTAATTAATTACGCCTAAAGCTTGCTTCTATTCGCATCTTCTGCTTCTTTGGTCTTACGATCTTCTTCAAGTCGCTTCTTCTCCTCTTCCTTTCTTCTGAGAGACTCCTTGATTCGGTTACTTTGACGGGGTTCTTTGTGATAATTATGGATCTCTTTATTTACTTCTAGAAGAATGATTGTTATTGAGTGACTCTAATTCTTCAACTGTAAGGACATCTTCAACTTTCTTCTTCTCCTCCTTGTGCTTGGAAGGTTTGTTACTTGGCTTAGTGAGCCTTAGAAGTGTTGATCTCTTACATGTAATCACTGGTCTGAAATTTTTGTAAGAATGAACCCATCCCACTGATATTCTGATTAGAGTTGTTACCCAATCTTTCTTGGGATAACTCCTATGTGTCTTTATCTACATATAATGAGACGATGCCATACCAACAGATGCTTCTAGCCTCATACGCTTATGGTTCAAACCTTCCTTGAGCACCTCCTCAGTCAATTTAGACTCTGTAGTCAGGTTATATCTTGATTGAGACAACAAATGTGGAACGTTTATGAAAATTTTCTTGTTGATGGTATTTATTCCTTGTCAAATTCCTCCTTAAGATTGTTCAATAACGGCACCTTTCAACCCTTTGGCAGAGTTGGCACATATGCAAAAGGTAGTACAAAATCTCCTTCTACATCATTACTTTGAGCTGATTCATAGATTTTCCTCTTCACCGGAGTCGCAGTAACAAAAATGTATGGCAACATCCTTATTTTTGACTCGTTATGCATGCTCTTGTTTGTCACAAGTTAATCATTGAGAGATTCCAAGAGCAACTTCTGAGTGTATCTTTTGGGCCGACTCTTCCCTCCACTTGTGCTACCTAGAACCCTGTTTTCAAAATTTAGCAGATTATTGCTAAAAATGGAATAGACTTATTCAGTCTTAGAGTTGATGCTGATGCTAGTCGAAGGAGAACGGCCAGCTATCCCATAATCTTTCTCTTGATGATATACCACTTTTAGTATGAGAGGCTGTGAGCGATACCTTTTAATAACTTTCTCGCTATCGTGAGTGCTGGCTTTAGCAAAGATCCTCCTATTTTGCCCTTATTTTTTAGAAACCGTACTCTTCTAGCTATGTTTTGTCTGCAAATGACAGTTGATCTAGTTAATTGTAGTGGATCTCTTGTATTCAAGATCTCGCATTAACTCTCAGCCTTACCTCTTGAAGGAGGTCTTCTGAAGTTCATCTGTTCGGTACCTAACGTGCCAAGTTTATTTTTGGTGAAGCTGCCTTGGACTTTATCAGTGAAGTTGGTATTTCATGCTGCATTTTCAGATTTACAGGAAATTTTCTTAAAACGGCTAAAGTCTAAATTCTTTGGATTCTTGCTAGGGAAATTATGCAAAAAGACTTCTTATCGTGAGAAGCATTCGGTTTTAAGGATTTGTGCCTCCCATACTTTGGAATCTTCTTTTTGATCCTAATAATTAGGGGAAATGAATTGCAAGTCAGCCAAAATTCAAAAATCTGATGATAAAGTTTTAGGGCATTAAGAAGTCAAGTCCAGACGTATTGAATTTTTCTGAAAATATTTGATTACCTTCTGTATTTCTCTGGCTTGTTTGCATCCTGAGCTTTCTCCTGTCCTACAGCGAGCATGACTAATATAAATCTGAAAATATTGTTGATGCAACTCCCCTTTTTAACAATTATATACATGAAATGCCTTTTTTAGGAAGCATATCCTGTTCTAGCCAGAGTGTAAATAGGAATCAAAAAGCCTGAGAATCGTCAGACTTGAGTCTGACGTAACAAATACCCAACTTACATTTCTTACTGACCAAAGATTTTATTTCTGAAAAGTTCTAAGATGTTATTTGTCAAGATGGAAGTTTATCTCAATTTCTAAAAATTGTCAAATTTACCTGCTCGTAAGTATCGAATCTGCTGGCTCTTAAAATTATCGCATTCTCTGTAGCATTCATTAAGAATGAAAATATTGCGTAGGAAATACAATAAAATTCAGAATTTTATTTTAGAAGTCAACGAATTTTCCTGACATTATGCAAGGTGAATAACTTCTGAAACACCCAAGGAAAAGGAAGGAAATGAGAGTATTAGGCTAGCACAGTTAGCATTTAGAAGAACAGCAGGCAAACCACAAGAATCTTTAGGTTCCACTGCTTAATTCCAATCTTTTTCCTTCAGCTATTAAAGCATTATCTCTTGAGTTGGCCTGAATTTTAGGGTTCCTAAAGCCCGTTCATTAAGTTGACTGGAGAGGATAAAAACTACAGTGTTGGGCCCAGAAGGGAGCCAAGAGGTTGTTGACTTACTCAGCATGCTTAGTGATGGCTAATGCATCTCTATTTGACAGCATAATTGAATTTACCCACTGCTCTTTCCCATATATGTGGATTAATATAAATTGGTTTAATTAGCATAAAAGTTACTTGCGGTAGAAACCAAAAATCTCAATATGGTATTTCAGAGGCGGGGTTTTGGGGTTTTGGGGTTTTGGGG